ACCCGAACAGGCGGGGAGGGGCAGTGCTTTTCCTCCTCATCGCTGCTGTGAGGCCAGCTCCTGCACTAGTACCTCAGCCAGAACTTTGGACGAGGAGTTGCAATAAGTACCTGCATGAGGGAGCTGGTCAGGAGAGGGGAGCCAGGGTTAGCCTAGGGCCCAGTGATCTGTTAATCTGGGTCTCATCAACAGTATTGAAGGCTGCTAAGCAATTCCAGAATCAGCACAGGTACCTAGGGTGAGATTGTCCAAAGGTGACTTTGATATTTAGCAACACAATTTCTATCATTTCAATGGGAGTTGTGTGGCTAAATCTCCTAGCCAGCTTGGAAAATCTCAACCCTCATCTTTGTCCTTCACCAATATCATGGGTTGAATATGTTTCTGAGCTGAAAAGTTTATTTAAGCTTGGATTGTTAAAAAAAAGGTTTTAAATTCAGAAAGTTATGGGTTAAACTTAAATTTGACAGAGCATGGGTGCTGTATGAATAATCCACTGGGCAACAGCCCTTTAGAAAATCCTGATGGGGCCAACAAATGAAGTGACATTAAGTGAGATGAAAATATTTTAAAAATGTAAATTGAGTTAAGGACATATCTGAAATTTGAGGTACTACCGGGATATAAGAATGAGGAATTCTGGTCATGGGGTTTTATTTGTATACTGCCTTTGTTGTGTTAATTCTTTCATGCTATACTGAATGGTAGTTCAGTTCTCAGCTTTGCCATGGCCATACTACGTGATTTTCAACAAGTCACTTAACCCCCGAAGTTCGTCCCTTTATAAAATGGAGACATTCACCCTTTAAACACTTTGTGAAGCACTGATTTATGGCTCAACAGCACAATATAAATGCCAAGTCCCTTTGGACTTATGTTATCTGTATGAGTTTAAAAAGTGCACCGTGCTATATCGAATGACTGCAGTGTCTGGGTGAGCATGCTACTTGTAAGTTGTACACTGTGTTCAGCTATTCTTAATTTTTTTCCAACTCTCCCCTCCTCTCTCACACACATGTCCCATAACTCCCCAGGCTAACATCAGCATTCAGTGACTAAATCAATATAAAATGACCATGTTCTAGAAAATGTAAGTATATTCTCAGATACAGGATTTATCAAACTAAAATGCTGACAGATCTGGCATTGTGCAGTATATGGAATTATTTTTTTGGGGGGGGGGGGGGAGTAAATCTATTATTTATATTTGGACTACTCATTTAGCAATCAACTGAACTTCCTTTTTCCTCTTTAAGCAGCATGTACAGAATAAGCAATGCATTTTCTTTATTACAATTACAGGTCTCAGGTTTGCACCAACCAGTAAGAATTGGCTTTGAAAGATGCACCTACTCACTGATGTATTGTGTGCGAAATATCCATAGCTATATAGTCTTGATCAAACCACTTCTGATACTTCTAGAGCAGATTATACAGTGTAGTTCATGAAAGTCCTATGGGATCCAACTCCATTTGTGATTTGTGTAAGATGTTTACCAGGCGTGTCTACCACTTTCAGATATACTCACAAAAATTCCAAAATTGCACCTCTCCTACCTTCTCTTCAGACTCTCTATGCTAGGCTTTAAGTGTTATTTGTAACTGGACAATGTTCTTTTATTCAGTATTGCTATCAGTTCAGTTCTTTTATTGAGTATTGTTATCAGTCTGACACAGCAGCATGAGAAAACAGAAAAGAGTTTCCCTCCCTACACAAGAAAGAAATAAAGCTTCTTGAATGAAAAATATACTGCGTTTTTTGCATACATCTTCATCAATAGCATGCTGGAGGACAACTTATTGTAGATTCCATATGAAGGCAGAACATGACAAAGATAAAGCTGCCCCACACCAAACTGGGGGTAAACCTTAAGACAATGTCCAACTCATAGCAGAAGATTAAGAGTTTCTGCAAGTTTATACCTAGAACCTTTGCACCAAGGTTTACTATCACTCATAACGGACATGCTCCTAACCAAGTCAGTATGCAGTAGCCATTATTAGTTGAATTGAGAGTAAAGCAACCTGGTCAACGAAAAGGAATAATAAAAAAAAAAAAACCCCTCTCTGCAGCTAGCTGGCAGTAGTTTCATAAACATAGAAGATGGGGAAGATTGTGTTACTCATGTATTAAATACTCCTTATAGTGAGAGTCAGCCAGGCTATGCAAGTGAGCAACAGCCACCTGGTTACCAGCAGTCCCTCAGTGCAACTAGGTGGCTGTTGCTTGGTTATTCATCCATTTTGGCATGCCACAGTAGAAGCGTGGATCGCACAGCATGTGCTGCAAAATTCAGATTGAAAATGCAGATGAGATTTGACATTGATCTGAGCCCTGCGCACTCATACAAAGGATACATATGCTTGGTACAACTAATCAGGATTCTCAAGGGGATTTTATAATGTACCCATTTTACCAAGGCAGTTTAACATGCCAAAGTAACATAGAATAAGTGTTCAGAAACATACCATTTCCTGTGATTGGAAAAGGAATAGTTTAAGCAAGTCTTTGAGGTAGGATATTAGATTTTGAATATATAAAATCATCTTCCTAGGAAGCTTGAGGAAATATACATAAGAGGATATTATATTATTTTCCCATATCCCACATCATCAGTTTGTGTTGCAATTGCAGTTTAAGACAAATTTTTGTACTCGGAGTGCTGTTCTTGCAAGGATAAAGTTTATATAATGTAGACTGTAAAATACTATTCCCAAAGCAAGTGAAATGGTTTAATATTTCAGCAGTATGTAATGATGATGCACAAACAGTGATGGGATGCTACTGGATGAGGAGTATTTTGGATGGACTTTTGGAGGCAAGTGAAAAAGAAACATAGAACTGGTTATTATATATAAGCAGCAAAGGAAGCTTGAAGATCTTTATATTTGTTCTTGAGTAATCCAAAGGGGGTGGGAGGAAGAGAGGAAACGGGACACTCACTGAGATTACAAAGATACTTCTCCAGCAGTCACAAGATTTCTGCAAACACTGGCATGCACAACTAGATGCTCTTGGTTAAGTACTCAAGCAAGTACAGAGTACTTGCTAGCACAGAAAAATTTAACTGAAGGATACTATTCAATTGTTCAGCAGCCACAGGCTAATTATTCAAATAATGGGGGGACTGATTTCGTTTTGGGTTTTATCAGTGGAGGGAGTAGATAAAAAAGCAGATTACTAACAATCATTTTTTCAGATTGTAAACAACAAAAAGGAAGCTATGCTTCAGCTGTGCAATATTCTCCTTCACTCAACAACAAAAAATGAGGGGAGTGCTGCAGCTTGAAATACTTGACTGGTAATATCCTACATGCCATTCCAGGAAATCCCAGAGTGGATTTTAAGCCTCTGCCCATCCTCATAAAGAAAGCGGACTGGAGGACTAATCGATATCTAGCAACCCAGCTGTGACCTGGCACATAAAGAAGTCAAGAAAATAAATTATAGAGATCATGAATGGGATTTAACATTTGGAAAACAGCAACATCTGGGATCAACTCCAAATGGGACATAGTCATATTGAATGAGTCTTGGCTCCTCTACTAATTGTTAAACAGAGCGAGATTACACACACACACACACACACACACACACACAAAGACAACGTCTTTACGGTCCTCGTGGATTTTCCATAACATACACAACTCAATGTACAAATATAACCTGGATATACAGACAGTTTCTTGCAATGCCAATGATCTACGAAGCACCTCAACTACGTTTGTGTGAAATGGCAGCTATTGTCCGGGACGAGACATCAAAGCCGATCAAGTATTAGTGGTTTTAATAGATGGTGTCAAAAACTACAATGAGTCTCTTTAATCGCTTCATAAGTCAGTTTAATGGGCTCCAGAGTCCTGCCCTCAGGCGGAGCTGAACAAATAATAACCGAGTGCAAATGACTTCCACGAATGTCACTTTGTTTTGTTTTTACCAAAAAAAAAAACACACACTATATTAAAGATACATTTTTTTCAACATTTATACAGTAAGCTTTTTTTTTTTAATAAAAGGTGTTATAGATACAATAGTGGGTTATTTCCCAATCAAACTGCTAGGATTTCAAAATTGTTTTATTGTTGTTAGGGCTGTTTATATAGCTGGCAGGAAATCTTAGCCCTTCCAAAAAGTATCAGTGGGATCAGGCTGAATTCAGTAGTTGAAAAGGAAAATATGAGTTTTAAATATGCAACTAAGAGGAGTGGGCAGACAGAGAAGGGGGGAAACGTTCCCTATTCTGTAACTGGGGCCGGGGGAGAAAAGAGATGAGAAAACCCAGATTCATCAGTCAAACATCTAACGTCCTTTGTTGTTCACCTTTGAATAGGAAGATGCTACGCTGTCTCTCCTCCTCATAAACAGGACCTTGAACTTCAAATACTAAAACACATTTCCCTGCCTCTGTGTAATCCATTTCACAGCCAAACAAAACGTTAGCATAGGAAGTAAGCTACTGTCCTGATTAAACACCACACACACACAAACAAAAACACATACAACTGCGGACTGGTGCCTGTCTCGAAAGATGGCAGTAGCTTAAACTGAGCGTGCCCGTTAAGCGGAATACCCATTTTAAAACAATTGTGTGGTTTTCTCTCCCCCTCCGGTGCTGAGGCTAGTGGGAAGAGGAGTCTCCCGACGGGGCTCTTTTACTACGATGCTATTCAATCCTCACAGACTCTTTGCAGAGGTGATCAGGCTATAGGGAGACTTATGCTTTCCAACTGTGTTTTGTTTATAACCTCCCCCCCCCCCACATTTTCAATCATTGCAGCTATTCATTGCACTGCGGGGAGGGAAGGGGTGTGATAACAGGGATCCATTCCCTCCCTCCCCACCTGACACATGAACCAGCAGCGTCCGCTTGCAAACTCCTCGGACAGCGGCAGAATTACAGGCATGCCCCCATCCGCGAGGTTTGGGGAGGGGTTACATTCTTATCGCCACCTGGACCAGCCCCACCACGGCAGGGCACCAGAGCCAGCGCCCCACTCACCCACGCCGTATTTCTCGTGCTCTGTAGGGATCCACATGCTCCCAGCGTGGTTTTGTCCCTCTCCGAACAATGAGAGCAGCGGCGGCCAGCGAGCCCCTCTGCCCAGCGCCGCCGCTGCCGCTGCTCGGCGGGGCTCAGACACGCTCCTCGGGAGCCAGCGGAGAAGTCATTGTTGTGATTGACTCAGCCCCGCTCCCCCGCCGGCCACTCACAGCGGCCGCCCGCCTCCCCTGCCCCGCTGCATGCCGGGAAGCGTAGTTTCCCCGCGGAGTACAGCGGCGGGGGGCGGGGCCCAACCAAGGCCCTACCCCCTTCTGGAGTCCGCTTCCTTACAGCGGAGAGACTGCGAGTCCCGATGAGCTCCGCGTTCTGAAGGCGGGGCCGGAGCCCTCAAGGCTCTTTCCTATTGGTTCAGGCGCCGTTCCAATGCGCGCACGTCATGCCAGGGTCCATCTGCGAACAGTGGCATGGCAGCTTCCTCAGGCGTTGGCGCTGCGGCCGACAGAGGCGGTGAGTGTGGCGCGCTCCAGAGTGTCGGGACGGGACCTCTCCTGTTCAAGCGTCCTGTCCCTTCTAGTGAGTCTAGGTGCTTACATGGAAAGCGTGGGTGGGACTGCAGCATACCCTTGTTGAGGGTCCCTCGGCCAAGTTAGAGCTGAGCACTGTCCCCGAGCCTTATCATCATTACTTATTAATACTTCATCACAACACATTACAATGGTGGGCAATCAAAGAATATGAAAACAGCTGCAGTCTATCGCCCAACTGGCAATACACTGTTCAGAACGTATGCCAGAGAATGGATGCTTAACTGAAAGGTACAGAAAAAAAATCGTTTTTAATGCCAAAATAGGTAATGTACATAGAAACCCTGCCAATGTTGACCTCGCTAACCATCTACTGTATATTTAAGAAAACACACCATGAAAGGTAGATGCTAATAGAGTGAGAAGTCAGTAAGGTCAGAGCAGGCAGCTTTTAACCCATGCAGTAGAACGTACTATCTTTCAGAGTGGTAGCCGTGTTAGTCTGTATCAGCAAAAACAATGAGGAGTCCTTTTGGCACCTTAGAGACTAACAAATTTATTTGGGCATAAGCTTTTGTGGGCTAAAATCCACTTCATCAGATGCATGGAGTGGAAAATACAGTAAGGAAGTATAAATACACAGCATATGAAAAGATGGGAGTTGCCTTATCAAGGGGGGGGGGTCAGTGCTAATGAGCCAATTCAATTAAGGTGGAAGTGGGCTATTCTCAACAGTTGACAAGAAGGGGAATACCAAGGGAGGAAAAATCACTTTTGTAGTGCTAATGAGACCAATGTAAGCAAGGCGGCCCATTTTAAACAGTTGACAAGAAGGTGTGAGTATCAGCAGCGGGAAATTAGTTTTTGTAGTTACCCATCCACTTCCAGTCTTTATTTAGGCCTAACTTGATAGTGTCCAGTTTGCAAATTAATTCCAGTTCTGCAGTTTCTTGTTGGAGTCTGTTTTTGAAGTTTTTTTGTTGAAGAATTGCCACTTTTAAGTCTGTCATTGAGTGTCCACGGAGATAGAAGTGTTCTCCTACTGGTTTTTGAATGTTATAATTCTTGATGTCTGATTTGTGTCCATTTATTCTTTTACGTAGAGACTGTCCGGTTTGGCCAATGTACATTGGTAGTGATATATCACTATCTTTGTGGCTTTTGAACTTACAGGTACCATTGGCAAGCTTATCCTCCACCTATCACAGCACATACATAGCTTGCCTATACACAAAAGCTGTATCACATTATATATACTAGTAATTAAAGCGATGCACTCCTCTTGCCCCCCTACACAAACTCAACCCCTAGTGTGGATGCACTTGTATTGGTTAAAAGGTGCATTATATCAATATAGTTATTCCTGCATAGGAAGGGGAATAAGCTATACTGCCCCTTTATACTGGTATAACTGCATCCACACTAGGAGTTGTCCCAATATACTATTTGTGTGGGGGGGAAAACATACCCCTAACCAAAATAGTTATATTGTTACAAAAACTGAATGTAGACCAGGCCTAAGAACCAGACAGCGCTCTGGTAAAAGGAGAGTTAGCCTGAAATCTCTGGTGTGGAAGAGGTCTAAAGCCACTTACCGTACTGCAGAGTAAGTTTGTTCCCACTGGGGTTCGGAGATCTAACCTAGAATTTTTTTCTGTTTATAGTTAGTTCTTTTCTCGTGGTGAAGTCAAAGCTCTTCCACTGAGTTGTTGTTTTGTTTTTAACAATGCTTTGTGTTCAGGACTTTCAGTCTTTCTTCACATCCTCTTAACAGCAGGTGCACTGCAGTTTGTCTCTCTAAACCAGGGGTAGGCAACCTATGGCACGTGTGCCGAAGGCGGCACGCGAGCTGATTTTCAGTGGCACTCACACTGCCCGGGTCCTGGCCACCGGTCAGGTGGGCTCTGCATTTTAATTTAATTTTTAAATGAAGCTTCTTAAACATTTTAAAAACCTTATTTACTTTACATACAACAATAGTTTAGTTATATATTATAGACTTATAGAAAGAGACCTTCTAAAAACATTAAAATGTATGACTGGCACGCGAAACCTTAAATTAGAGTGAATAAATGAAGACTCGGCACACCACTTCTGAAAGGTTGCCGACCCCTGCTCTAAACACTCATAGGTATCAGTGAAAATGGCTTCTTCTGCCCAGTATAAAAAGCCTGAGAACTATGACAGGATCCAACTGCACCTTTGACCCCTCCTGGTCTCTTTGAGTGTATCCCTACCTCCCCCAAGGTCTCAGGCCTTCAGCCATTACCTTTCTTGGAATGGAATCACACAGTTCTCCCACACTCAGATTGGGTCTAGGGCAGCAGTCACCTGCTATTCACTGTGGTTTCCTCAGCAAGTCTGATTTAGACTCAGATCTTGCCATTCTGTTCCTTCAATCCCAGCTGACTTTTCACCACCTTGAACTCATTCCTGAAACCCTTCCCACATCCTGCCACTACTCTCTTAGCATAATAGCTTGCTGATTTCTTTCAAGAGAAGATTGTCAAGATGAACATAAGAACGGCCATACTGGGTCAGACCAAAGGACCATCTAGCCCAGTATCCTGTCTTCCGACAGTGGCCAATGCCAGGTGCCCTTGAGGGAATGAACAGAACAGGTAATCATCAAGTGATCCATCCCCTGTCACCCATTCCCAGCTTCTGACAAACAGAGGCTAGGGACACCCATCCTGGTTAATAGCCATTGATGGACCTATACTCCAGGAATTTATCTAGTTCTTTTTTGAACCCTGTTATAGTCTTGGCCTTCACAAAATCCTCTAGCAAAGAGTTCCAGAGGTTGACTGTACATTGTGTGAAGAAATACTTCCTTTTGTTTGTTTTAAACCTGCTGCCTACTAATTTGGTGACCCCTAGTTCTTGTGTTTATAAGGAGGAGTAAATAACACTTCCTTATTTACTTTCTCCACACCAGTCATCATTTTATAGACCTCAATCATATTCCCCCCTTAGTCGTCTCTTTTTCAAGCAGAAAAGTTCTAGTCTTCTTAATCTCTCCTCATACAGAAGCCATTCCATACCCCTAATAATTTTTGTAGCCCTTTTCTAAACCTTTTCCAATTCCAATGTATCTTTTTTTGAGATGGGGCGACCACATCTTGAATATTGTGTGCAGATGTGGGCGTACCATGGATTTATATAGAGGAAATATGATATTTTCTGTCTTCTTATCAATCTCTTTCTTAATGATTCCCAACATTCTGTTTTCAGCGGGGCTTTGGAGCTGAGCCCGGAGCTGGAGCGCAGAGCAGCTCCAGAGCAGTGAAGCTGCAGGTTTTTCCTGGAGCTGGAGCGGAGCCGGAGCACAGCTCCAAAGCCCTGGTTTTCAGAGAACTATCCACAATGACGCCAAGATCTCTTTCTTGAGAGGTAACAGCTAATTTAGAACACATTGTTTTATATGTGTAGTTGGGATTATGTTTTCCAATGTGCAATATGTTGGATTTATCAACACTGAATTTCATCTGCCATTTTCTTGCCCAGTCACCTAGTTTTGAGAGATCCTTTTGTAGCTCTTCGCAGTCGGCCTGGGACTTAACTATCTTGAGTAGTTTTGTATCATCTGCAAATTTTGCCACCTCACTGTTTACATCTTTTTCCAGATCATTTATGAACATGTTGAATAGGACGGCCCAGACCCATGGGGGACACCACTGTTTACCTCTCTCCATTCTGAAAACGGACCATTTATTCCTTCCCTTTGTTTCCTATCTTTTAATCAGTTACCAATTCCTGAGAGGACCTTCATGACAGCTTTTGACATGACCTTCCCCCTCCCCTCGACTCTCCTTCCTTCTTGCTTTTTCTCCTTCCCATCCCAACTCTGTCCTCCTCCGTGGTCACAGATGCAAATATTTCCAGTCTGTTCTCCTGTTCTAACCCCTCTACTTTGCCCAGTAACCCCATCTCATCTCCTGATCTCCTTTGAACCCATTCTCATTCCCTCCCTTACTCTTCTCATTACCCTCTCACTCTCCTCTGGCACTTCCTCTCACAATACAAACATGCTTTAGTATCACCCATCTTTAAAGAACCCACCTTTGACCCCACTTGCCTCTTCAGCTACCACTCCATTTCCTTTTCATTTCTAAACTCATTGAACATGCTGTTTATAATTGCTGTCTGGAGCTTCTCTACTCCACTTCCATCCTGCAACATCGCCAATCTGACTTCTACCCCTTGCTCTCAACTAAGAACTCAACATTCACATTGAAGTCACTAATGACCTCCTCTTAGCCAAATCTGAGAATCAGTCAGAGGCTGGGCACTCCAGAAGGAAGCTCTGAGGACTCGAGGGTTGGCGTGTACCTATTGTTATCTTGTAAAGAGAGAGGAGGGCCTGCAGAAGCATAGAAGCAACTGTTTGTGTTGCCAAAGGCTGGTGAATTTGGGGAATTGCCCCCCAGTAGGGACAGACAAGACTTCCTCATGCTAAGGGCAGGTGGTAGTGAGGTGTCTCAGAACCCTGGGTACTCCCAAGAAGCATCACACCATGATTCCTACAAAAGACTTGACTCTACTGCCACTGCTTATCATGCTGACCT